ATTTTTTTATTAAATAAAATTAAAATCAAATACATAATTTTTTTTATTTTTACAATATATTACATATATATTTTTTTTTAGCTAAGCATTATTCACAATGCCCTCTTATTGTTTCCAATTTTGCTTTGATCCTTCCTGAAACTAAGTCTACTAAAATTGGTCAAAACGGTGAGTCAGTCGCTCCACAATCCAAAACCTCGTATAACTTATGGTTGGCTTGGTCGAAAGGAAGCATTTAGATTTGGGCAGTGGTTTGGGTCCGTAGGTGAGTATTGCTTCTTCACTTTCTTCACTTGTACTATGGTTTTCCTTTTCTAAGCTGTCTACTAACTTTAATCCTCAATTACCTCACTACTTTGGGTAATTGGACAATATGTACAACCTTAACTATCACACTTCTTCAGATAGTTGAAATGATACAACCACGGCTGATCCTGGTACTTTAGGATACAACAGCCGGATGGGGTTTTTATAATATTACAGGTTAGAACAGCAAACTTCAAGAAGTGGGTTTTTATGGTCTGTGATTTAGCGATTAGTTAATGTATTAAAGGAGACATTTATGTATTTATTATTATGTAAGGGACTAGTTATTATTTTAATAAAGCAAAGTACAGGTTCTCCCCCTTTTTTTATGGCCTTTACAGCCTTTATTTATCTTAAAATTCTTTATTTACATTTGTTATACTACATCTGCTACAACTACTAAGTCTACTACGTCTACTACTTCATTCCCAACTTATACTTATCCGACATGGCCTTTGTGCCCTACGTAGCCGTAGTAGCCTACGTAGCCGAAATAGCCTAAGTGGGCCGGGTTACTCTAATTTGGAGTAGCCATAGTCACGTGCCATATGACTTCTCTGGATAACACTACAAACTTCAAAAAAACTAACATATTTAATTTTGACTACTCCTTTTTTAGAATGATTTTATGATCATCTATTTTTCTTGAAAAGTCATCCTAATTCTGAATATTATCTTTCAATTTTTTCCAAATATTTTCAATCAAATTAAGGTCAAAAGATCTTACAAACCAGTTTAGTTTAGAGATTTTTTTGTCTTCAAGTCAATTAGATACTTTATATATCAGTACATTGTTTTGTTGAAACATTGTTTTGCTGAAACATTATTTTGCACCTATTAATAAATAAGATGCTTTAACCCTTTCATAAAACAATGATAAATGATCTTCCAAAAGTTTAATATATATATTTTTTAATAATTTTTTTCTTTAGATATTTATATTTATCAAAAAAAAACAAGAAGACCCTTGATCCTATCAACAAAAAACTTTACATCATTATTGACTACCTACAACTCTTAAAACTCAAGATTAAATATACATTTTTGTGTCTTTCACCTTTGAGACATCATATCCTAATTTGACATAATTGTTTACCAAGCTTGATAAACATTTCATCAGAAAAAATTACATGTTGTCAATTATAGATGCTTTTTGATACATTTTGTTGACACTATTCAAACTATTCTTTCATATTATGTTCCTTAAAAAATGACTTTTTTGCTACTATATGAGACTAAACATCAAAACTTTGCAGAGCTCGAAAAACAGGTTTTAAATTGCACTCAAGCTTTAAATCATTAATCAGGTTATGCAAAGGCTTGCATCTTTTTTTTAAAGTTGCTTCTACTAGAATGTTTTTTTTTTATCATTGAGGGCATAGGGTCTTCTAGACCTTAACAAATTTAATATATTCTTGGTTTTCTAATACTTGGTGAGAAACCTTCAGATTGTAGTGAGGTCATGTTCCATTTTCTTTATAACTTGCTGGATGCTCATATATTCAATATAAGCCAGGATTTCTCCTTTGTCTTTGTTTGTTATTGAAGTGCTAGTCATGCTTATTATACTCAGGTTTTTTTTTTGCAGGTACTTCATGGAAAGTCAAAGAAAGAGAAAAAAAAAGATTTGCCCCACAAATTGTTATACGGGATCAAAATCAGGCATTACTTTTGCTGATGACTGTATGTGCTGATCATTTGAGAATATCAATTATTTTGTTCTAACCAAATATATATATATCTCTTATGCTGAATTTCTTTTATAAAGTGAATGTGTGCTATGCCAAATTTCTAGTTGTGAAGCGAGTATGCACTATGCTGAATATGAATAATTCAAAAAACTCAGCCAAAATGATTATTAATAAATTGAATGTATTCTACTGATTATTATGAACTTTGCTAATTATGTTCTGGCAAGAATGCGTAAATTTTTGAATTGTACCAGGAATGGAGTATGAAATACAGAGGGTTTGATTTACTTAAGAGTGAAATGTAGTGTCCGATTTTTAGCATATGATTGGGTTATTCTTCATCGTGACCTTGTGTAGCTGGTGTCAAACATGCGACCCTCAGAAGACAACACAAGGATGGGCAAGTGGGAATAAAGATATTAATGATTACATTAAAGAATTTCAACTTAAAGCTACTTTTTAAAAAGATGTAATCGAATGGATTCCTTTTAATAGGTTAGTTTATGTTCAAAATGTTGGCGATAAATTTTTGGCAACGTGGTTAGATGGAATACGATATCCAACTTTTAAATATGTTAATAATAAATATAAACATATACAGTCACGTATACCATCATGTAAAGTGGAGCTTAAAATATTAACTAGAAGACAAAGTTTATTAAATATTGTTGGGTTCGGAAGATTGCGACTCTGTCACTTCAAAATTCTAAACCTTGCGTAACGTACAACAAGTAACCTTTTCGAAAGAGGGTGTTAGATTTGGCTTGTGGGCGAGAAAGGCTTTCGGTTACTCTGAGTCAACGAATGCAAGTATGGTAAGTTACGTGGTCAAGGGTTGAACAGTGACGTTTACAGGAGTTTGCAGGGTTTGTAACAGTAATAGTGTTAGTATTTATTAAGTACAATATAGGATATTATGATTTATTGTTTAATAAAGCAAATGAAGCGTACTGCTCCAAAGAGCCATTTCGGCCTTTATTTATAATATCTTTTTACTTATAACTTCATTAATCTCTTTAAACCATTTAATTCGATTACTCTAATTTATTAACTTAAACCCATTTACTTAATAAATCCCCCTTATCTAATTAATCCCCTTTATCTAATTAATCCCACTTTCTTGATTTATTTAATTAATCGCATTAATGCGATTAATTGCTGGGATATCTAAATCGAGGAATTGATCGTCGTACCCATTCTCACATGAGGTCCCGGCAGAGTATTTACGTCACGTTATCGGGCCTCACATTCCTCCCATGATTAAGGGCGAGTTCCACGAGCTTTCCGAAATTACCTGCCTCAATTCGGTGATTTTGAGCTCCTTAATATCGTAGTACGTCACGATCATGGTACCATAAATTTTTATCATCCCGACGGCTGAGAAAATATCAAAGACCTTTAAGGAAACTGTGTAGTAATAGGAGGTTATGAGTTCTTGAAGTCGTCTTTTCTGCATTGGAGTAGCCCCGGTGAAGATCGATCCTAGGTAATAGGCATAAATCAAGGCGTTGATTCTTTCTTGTAGACAGATCGATTGGGAGAGCAACGAAAAGGTCAAGGTCACGCGAATAGTTAGATCATGTGAGTCATTGAACGGTGGTGAGATCGGATTGACATTATAAGACACGGGCTGATTGATGTCATCGATGATTTGACGTATGGTAAGCCTTATTTTTAATAAATTTTACTTCTTTCTTGTCTTACGCTTTTGATCCTTCTTATATCTTTTTCTCCTCTTGTTCCAGATCGACCATCTTCTTCATGAATTTCGTCACTTTTGGTAATTTTATTTAAAAATTTTTTTTTTTTTTTTTTTTTTTATAATAATATTTCTTTTTATATACACTTTTTCGATTTTCATTTCCTAGTTGGACCATTCGTAATACTCCTTCAGTAGTGTAACGTTAAATGGTGTCGCGAGAACCTTCCCTTCTATGGTGCGCAATTTGTATACATCCCTGTTTAGTATCTGATGGACGTAAAACGGTCCATCCCATTTTGGCTCTAACTTCATGCTTCTACTATACTTTTTAGAAGCATGATATAGCAGGACTTTATCGCCGATGGACAATTCGGGTGGAAAACGGGCATTTCGGTCGTACCATTCTTTTTGTTTCCTTTGAGCCTGTTGAACTTCTAACACAGCCTCATGACGTGTTATCGGTAAGTCTTCTAACAATTGGAATGTTCTTTGCATTATCGTTCCTTCTAACAAATCGTCGGATTCGATTGGTAGGCGGGCTTCTTTTCCATGCATCAAAAAAAATGGTGTGATCTTTGTAGTTGTGTGCTTAGAGGTATGGTATGCAAATAATACTGCAGGTATTACAAGGTTCCAGTTGCTAATGTTATCTATTGACCTTGCAATAGATTCGCACAAGGTCTTATTATATCGTTCCACCAACCCATTAGTCTGTGGGTGGTACGGCATCGATAGCAGGTGCTTGATCTTGAACTTTTCTAGCAACCTATCAACAAGTTGATTCCTAAAGTGGGTGCCGTGATCCGATAACAGCTTGAGGGGGCATCCATGCCTGCACACGATATCTTCGAAAACGAAATCCGCCACACTTTGAGCATCAGCGGTCAAAATCACCCTAGCTTCTGGCCATTTCGTCATATAGTCGGTTGCTACGACTATATTCGTGAATTTCGTGAAGTAATTGGGAGTGGGCCTACGATATTGATCCCCACTTTGTAGAATGGTGCCGTTACAGGTATGGGCTGTAGGGGTCCTGTATATTTGTTCTTTCCCCTCTTTTGACAATTTTCGCACGATTGGACGTATTTCCTAATATATTCGAATGCTTGTGGCCAGTAGTATGTCCTACGGATTTTTTAAACATCGTCTTGGCTCCAAAGTGCCTACCAAGAGGGTAATCGTGTGTTAACAACAGAATGGGGTCGATTTCGTGCTTCTGTACCACTTTCAAAGGTTGGTCTTGAGTTTTCTTGCTTATCTTATATAGTAAACCATTCCTTATTACAAATGATTTACTGTAATTAACTAATTGTCTTTTTTGTTTCTTTTCTAGGTTGCCGTCGACGTATCCTTCTTGCAAGTACCGTTTCAACTGTTCGTAATCTTCTATCTCCATTTCGGATTTCTAATGCCAGGACACCACTACCTGGACTGGATTGAATTTATCGTAGGATTTGGGTATCTCCTTCTTTTCTTTTTGTTTTTCTAGTCGCCCTATTTCTTTTTATGTGCTGTTTTACTAATTAGTCGTCAACGTAATTGAAGAGTTACTAAAATTAGACGATCTGATTTCTGAATGTGGTCATTGTTTCTTGCTTATCCACGTCAATAATCTCTTCAAGGATCGCGATGTCGTTTCCTTAATCGACCACATTCGGCTAAGGAGATCATGCGTGATTCGACGCATTGGCTTGTCGACATGGTTTAATATTAACCACCTTTCGATCGCTCCTCCAATTGGCGTTTTTATCTTTATTGATTTTTTGCAGGTTTAACGGTTCGGTATATCCCAGGTCGATTCCAGTATCGTGTAAGTATTCCCATTTCACTAATTCTTGGTTCGCTCCTGTAATCACCCAATCTCTTAACACTAACAGCTGTTTAGGTTTTGTCGTTATTAGGTTAAATCCGTGAAACTCGACTGTATATATAGCTTTCTGTAGATCCATGATTTTTAACGCAAGATGCTCGAAACAGATGGGATGGTAATACGTTTGATAGGTGTTGCCATATGATTTACTCAGCCCCGAATATTCTAAGTTGCTTCGATATTTCGTCACCAACTTGGTAAATGATAACAGGGGGATCGGTGGGGCTCTTGGGTCAAATACTTGTTCGAAATTGGTTAAGTTGGTTTGTTCTTTATCGTCCTGTTTTTCGTCCTTTTCCGTTACTAATTCTTCTTCACTGCTTTCTACTATCGCTATATATATTTCCATGACGTTGTCTCCCGTTCCATTTATTCGAGACAATGCATCCGCATTCCAATGTGTACGTCCCGACCTATGCTGGATCATGTAATTGTATGGCTGTAAACGAAGTATCCAACGGGCCCTTTTACCCTTTAACTTCGTACTATGCAGCCACTTAAGTGCGGAGTGGTCGGTTATAATAACAAACGGCTTAAAGCCGAAATAATGGTGGTAGTATTCTACCGGTCAAATAACCGCCAGACATTTCAATTCACATGCCGAATAATTTCGTTTGGCTTTAGATAAGCTACGGCTTGCATACGAGATCACGTGCTCCTTTCCGTTAGCATCCTTTTGTGCTAAAACGGCTCCTAATCCCATTCCAGACGCATTGGTATACAAGAAAAAGGTATCGTCGAAGTCGGGATACTTGAGAACGGGTGCGTAATTAGGTGCGTCTTCAATGTTTCGAATGCTTGTTGCTGTTGCGGTCCCCATTCAAAGCTAACGTCCTTTTGCAATAGGTAGTGTAGAGGTCATGCTATAGCTGCAAATTTAGGAATGAACTTTCTATAGTACGACACGAGACCGATAAATCTGCTTAACTGACGCAGGGTATTGGGCACGGGGTAATATTTGACTTTTTCTATCTTACCCTTGTCAGGTTGTATCCCTTGCCGTCCGACGATATGCCCAAGAAAGTGAATAGTGGGTTTAAAGAACTCGCACTTTTCTATATTAATTTTTAACCCTGCTTCAGCTAACTTATCGAACACCTTCTTTAGGTGTACCAACTGTTCGTCGAAGGTGTGTGAATAGACATTAATATCATCGATATAGACGATTACGAATTTTCCAATATACTCCTCTAATATATGATCCATCAACCGTTGAAACGTGGCGGGTGCGTTCGATAGTCCAAATGGCATAATGTTGAACTCGTAAAGACCTCCCCATGTTACGAATGCCATTTTCTCTCTGTCTTCTTCTTCTACTTTCACTTGCCAATATCTGCTCTTCAAGTCTAAACTAGAAAACCATTTCGCAGTACTAAAGGTCTCCAGTAGATCGTCGATACGGAGTAGCGGGTAAGAGTCCTTTCTTGTTACTCCATTTAGTTTTCTATAGTTCACGCATAGTCATAGCTTTCCACCCTTCTTTGGGACTACTACGACGGGCGAAGCCCACGGGCTACTTGACTTCTTAATTAATCCTTTCTCTTCCATTTCCTTTACTTCCTTTTCAATAAATTCGTGTTCACTGGGTGCTGCCCTATATGCTCTCTGCTTTATCGGCTTAGCACCAGCAGTCTCGATCCCATGGGTTATCACGTTCGTCTCTCCAAGTTCTCGTATATCGCTTGCGAACAGGGTTCTCTTCTGTTTAAAGAACGACACTGCTTTTTCCTTGTCTTCTTTATCAAGGTTATCGTTCTGGAGGAACTGTTCTATTTGTTCTTCCACCGTAACTTCGGTTTCGTCGTCATCTTTCGTCGGCATTTCTTCTACATTCGTCAAGTACAACACTGGGCTTGTCGATTCTTCTCATGGGTTATAGAACAAATCATCGGGTTCTTCAATGGCTCCTTCCGTATAATACCCTTCTGCCTCGACTAGTTCTTCGTCCTCGTAGGTGTATTCGCCGAACTCGTCTCTGCTATCGCTACCGGTCTGGTCTTTTTCTTCTGGAACTTCTAGCTTCTTCGTGCTGTCACTAGAGATGGGTACTTCGATTCTTTTACCGTCATGCTTAAGAAACAGCCGTTGTTCGTCGAAGTGAATTCACGCTTGAGCTCTTTGGAACCAGTCGTTGCCAAGCAGTAGGGTTTCGTCCGTCGATTCAATAACCTGGAAGGTGCTAGGTAGTAGGGTATCTTGGATAGCCACCTTTACGTCCTCGATTTGCCCTAGTGCTCGCGTTCTCATGCCAGTTGCCGTGATTACCACCATAGACGATGGTTTGTCTATTTTCAACCTTAATTTTTCCATGAGCTTTTTCATTATTATACTTACTGCAGTGCCCGAATCTAATACTGCTCGAATAGGGTTGCCTCTAATTCTAACGTAGCAATAGGCGCTGTCGTTCTATGGGCATCACTAAAGTTCACCACCTGAGACTCTTGGACTTCTTGTGGTACTCGAACTTCCTTAGGCTCTAGAGCTACAAGGGGTCGTCACATTACTTGGGCTAAGTTCCGCCTTTGGTTCGGGTATTGAAGCATTTGACCGTAGGTAGCGTTCGCCCTTGTGTTCAACAAATCTTCTGCAATATTATACGGCACGAGGCTATCTATAACGGATGGTCCCCTTCTTCTTCTTGATTTCTTGACCAGCCACGGCTCGTCCAACTCTATAGGCTCCAGTTGGTCCTCCACGTCTACTAACAATGGTTCGGGTTCTATTCAGGGTCGGAGTCTATTATTCCACTTCGCCTCAGGTTGCAGCCTAGGTCATTTATCAGCAGTGTTGGGCTGCGGTTGCTGACTTCTTTTGTCTACCATGTACACCTCGTCGCCATCGTATTTGTAGTCGCAATAGTTCACTCTTTGATCATTATCTGTTGGTCGTCGTTCCTCCTTAGGTTCCCCGTACTTCTTCTCCGACATACAGGATCGAGCAATATGCCCTTTTTCGTCGCATCGGTAACAGACGATATCCCTCTTGGGCTTATACGTTTTTTTACTATACCATTCCTTATCGCGCGTATCCTGTTCTTACTGACTGGTCGCCACAACATAGTTAACTGATAGTTGCTGCACCTGCTTGACTAATGCTTCTATCAGTTCGTCTTTTTTGTCAGGGGTTACTGAGGTCTCGTGCAGGTGGGCACCATAATATTCGCCGGCTTCAACTTTCCTGGCAACCGCAATCGCTTCATTGAGATTATTTGGGGACATTACCACTACAAAGATCACCGTTTTCCCTTTCAACCTGCTTAAAAACATTCGTACAATATACTGGACGGGTAGGGAGTCGGTTGGGTCTACACGGCTCAACAATTTCTTAAATTT